ATCGTTTCCAGAGTAGGACCGTGGACGTGGTACATTCCAAGACGTTTCGCCGGCATCGTCAGTGAGTCTCTTTGACGAGTTGTTGTGTGGTGCTACGAATGGCGAGACTCACTGACGATGCCGGCAAAACGTCTGGGAATGTACCACGTCCACGGTCCCACTCTGGAAACGATGATGCATACAATGGACTGCGGACGAATTGCGAAAACAAGGTCAAACAATTTGTAAACTTTGTGTTTATGCTAGAACAAGACCCAACTCTGAGGATGACTAAAAACCTATTTCCTATTCCAGCTGCAGTCTACTTTCGATGCATTCACATGATCTAGCCTCATTCTGCAATTTGGTTGTGTTGTCAAGACGACCAATTTGGACACACCTTGTCCAGTTTTTTCCGCCAAAAGTAGTTGTTGTTATTTGCATCAAGCTACAAGTTGTCAGTTATTTTGTCTTTGACGAGTTGTTGCTGGAAATGTTGCTGAGACTGGATAAAACGCACTGACGACAAGGCCTAACATGCCGGCAAAACACGTTTGGGAATGATCGCATGATTTGATTGGCTGCTACATGCACATAGACGAGGGGAGTAGCGCTCGAGGGAACAGCACGAACTTGGTGGGAGATGTGAATTGGATAACGTCGTGAATGTCGTGAAGTTGGTGAAAATTGTGAAAGCAGCGATGCTCTGGCAGGTCGCGTCGTCTACGTCGTGAATTGTGTGTCTGTCTACAAGACCGGGAATAGCATGAAATTGTCACATGTTGGAAGCGTCGCAAACGTTGTTAAAGTCAGTAAATACTCCAAACTTGTATGAGCTAAATTATTTGTGAGGTTTGAAAACTTTATGAAATTGTGGAAAATGATAAAGTAGTAACAGCGTGAAAGACTCTCAAATCATAAACGTCATCACAGACTTAATGAATTTGACGCATGCTGACAAAAGTAGATAAAGACTCCAAATGCACAAACGACAATTGCGAAATAGGAGATGCGAGCTTTGTCAACTTATTGGTCATCATTCAGGTCGTAAAAGCTGTGGACAATATCAGAATTGGGCCAACGTGTGCGTGTGTAAATCGTCAAAATGTGCCCATTTCGAGATCGAAATGCACAAAAGATGCCAAAGTTGTTTGTGCATGTGCATGTTTGAGTGCGTAAACCCACGAACGTTGTGCTGCTGTGTGCAGGTGATGAAGGTTGTGCTCAAAGTGAACGGTATGCATTCGGTGAAGATACAAAGTGGCCAGCGACAAAGACGTACGCGGTTGTGACTTACCGAAAAGCAGAGTCTGCTGACCCGTGCCGAGCAGACTCGGAGCCGGCAACTGAGCTGTCGCGTTGCTAGGCGCCTGGTCCAGTCGTCCAACCGCTGACGGGACCGAGGGCAGGGAGGGCGGGTGAGGAGAGAAAGCGGCACCGAAGACGGTCTGCTCGACTCCGAGCCTGAACGGGCGGACGGCGATTGTGGTCGGCTGATCGGGCGGAGCAGGAGTGGCGTCGGGCGGAGGGAGAAACGAGCCAAAATTGTCGCCATAGCA